GGAGGGCGTGCCTGGGATAGGTTTATTTCTGGCTCACCCTTACAGTGAAGTCTTGGTTTTTAGGTCAGAGGATCTATCTCTTCAAATGGGCTCTGAGTTTATCTTTATTCCCTGAAGAGGCCCATGGGGAAGAAAGATAACTCAAGGTCACATAGTATGACAGGTGCCTTTAGAGCGAAAACAGGCCACAGTGTTCTGCTAACCTCCTGAGTTTCTTGCTTTTATTCAGATCTAACAGTTTCTTTCTTCCTTGCTTCTTACGGCTTACACACACGCACACACACATAGTTTTTTTGATCTAATATTGTTGGGTTTTATTTGGAGAGTTAATTTGATACTTAGCCTGGTATATTATGGAAGCCCAAGTTTAAAGCACTTTTTAAAAATAGCATACCAGAGTTTATTCATCAATGAATGTTTACTTTTTAAAAGTAGTCAAGGTAGAAAACGATAAACTTCTACATTGCTCAAGATATTTTTGGACTCCTGTTTTGGAATTGCCTTCAGAGCTAGCACATATTCTTAGGGATATGGTTAAAATTTGTATGCTTTAAAGGTGGATATAATTTTGGAAGTGTCAGAATAAAGCGTGCTGAATGAGCTGGGTAGTCAAGGAGAGTAATGCCACTTGGAATTAAAAATAAAATGGCGCCATTGGTTAATGAGGCTGATTTTCATGTATGGCTTACATGCCAACATTGATGGTAATTCCTAAAGAGAAAAATCCAAAAATGTTTTGAGTAATAGTTACTTGAAATAAATATTTCTTATCATTTCTAGTTACCTTCAGTTAACTAGAAAAATAACTTTACTAAAACACTGCATTATTTCTTAAGCATCATGAATAGTTGCATCTTCATTGTGGTGAGGAAATATATTACTATATATATATATAGTCTCACTATATCACCCCGCCTGCACATAGCTCACTGCAGCCCCTTGGGCTTACACAATCATTCTGTCTCAGCCTCCCCAGTTGCTAGGACTACAGGTACATGCCACCATGCTTGGCTACTTTTTATTTATTTTTTATAGAGATGGGGATCTCACTTTGTTGCCCAGGCTGGTCTAAAACTCATGACTCATGCAGTCCTCCTGCCTCAGCCTCCCAAAGTGCAAGGGTTGCAGGTGCGAGGCCCTGTACTCAGCCAACAGTCTTCTTTTAAAAGAAAAATAGCTTCTTGGACATGTGCTTTCAATTTTTTTCATTACATTTTTATTCCTTTTGTGTGTCTAATTTTGTACATTATTAATAACAATTATTTGCATTGATAAAATAGATGTATTATAAATAATATGTCAAAGATCTATTTAATATTTGTGTGGCATGTCTGGCACATTGTGTGTAGGGAGGTAAATTCTGTTTCACTGAAGAGTAGTTTGTCAGGCACATTGAACCTTTAAAAGAAGAAGGCAAATTTAGTAATACATCTTTGTTGGTAATTTCTTCATTTGGCACCATCATCCTCAAGAGAAGGTAATATCTGCATAGACATTCTCTGAACCTTGGTTTTCCCAACCAAGGTGTAAAACCGGTGTGTGTAAAAAGAGGGGCGAGGGGTGGTTTGAGAGCAGATAGTCTTGAAGATCTTGTGTAACTGTAATGTTCTTTTTGTTCATTACTTAAATATTTATGGTCTGTTCTCTTATTCTTATATAATCTCATATATTTTTCTCATTATATTTTTTTCTCCTCAAAGCCCACCTTTTGCCCTCACACTTTTAAATAGAAGCATATACAAGTTTTTTCTTTATGAGAACATATGTACTCACATTCTGTGAATGGTATAATTATGTGTATGTCTCTGTAAATAGAATTAGGGGTGTTTAGCTTCCTGGTTTTAGGGTTTTTGTTGTTGTTGGTGGTGGTGTTGTTTTTGCCACTTTTCTCCAGTAGGAATCTCCTCCCCTAGCACAGGGTCCATAAACTTTTTCTGTAAGGGGCCAGATAGTAAGACTTTGTAGGCCAAAAAATAGAATTGAGAATGTTGTATAGATATCTATGTAACAGGAGAGAAAATTTTTTTCTACAAACTCTTTTTGATGAAATGAAAAGCTTTTATTTAGGAAACTAAAACTTCGATTTCATATTATTTTAATGTGTCATAAAATATAATTCTTTTGATTTTTTTTCCCCAATCATCTAAAAATCTATATTGGTTCATTCTTATGCTGCTATAAGGACATACCCAAGACTGGGTAATTTATATAGAAAGAGGTTTAATAGACTCACAGTTCCACATGACTGGGGAGGCCTCACCATCATGGCAGAAGGAGGAGGAGGAGCAAAGGCACATCTTACATGGTTGCAGGCAAGAGATCATGTGTGGGGAACTGCTCTTTATTAAACCATCAGATCTTGTAAGACTTCACTGCACGAGAACAGCAGAGGAAAACCCACCCCCATGATTCAGTTACCTCCCACTGGGTCCCTCCCACAAGTGGGGATTATGGGAGCTACAATTCCAGATGAGATTTGAGTGGGAACACAGCCAAATCATATCAAAATGTAATCAGTTATCAGCTTACCGGAAAAGATAAGATGAGTCTGGAGCATCGTGTAGTTTCAAAAGCAAAGAAGTGCTCAAAAAACAAAAGGATGGAGGCACAGGAGCCAACCTGAAAGAGCTCTCAATGGCCAAAGCTAAAACAATTTCAGCAACAAAATTAATGACATAGTAGTAGCTTATGGCACCAAGAATAGAATAAGTATCTGTGAGCCCATACCAATTACATAAATAAATGATTGGGTAAATAAATGGAGAACAAGTCTTTCTCACAGAAGAATTTGAAATAATATATGAGGATACTCCTACTTTTAGAAGGTAGAGTTTAGTTCCTCCCTACCCTCTTTAATGACTCACCCCCAAAGAATAAAAATGGAAAGGGAAAAATACTGAATGTGGGAAAACCTGACAAATATCATAATTTATTAAAGTAGCCTCCTGTTGATGGTCATTTAGGCTGTTTTTAATCTTTTAGTATTTGAATCTAGCAGTAAGTAAAATAAAGATAATACATCAGGACTGCATTGGATTTGTGCAGGATTGACTTAACATTAACTGACCTTATTGACAGCTTAAGGGGGAAAATCTGCTCATCTCATTGGATACAGAAAAGTAGTAGGTAAAATCCAATAGCCATTTATGACAAAAATTTTTAGCAAACTGGGAAAGAAGGGAACTTTCTTAACTGGGTAAAATATCTGCAGAACCCGACAGCAAGCTTACTTAATGTTTAAATACTAAAAGCATTCCTTTTAAAATGAAGAACAGAATAAGGATGCATGCTATCACTACTTCTATTCAATTGTCATGGAGTTCCTAACTAGAATAATAAAACAGAAAATGAGAAAAACAGAAAAAAATTACCACTTGCAGTTGGTAATTTTTCTCTATATAGACAATAATTTTCTATGTAGGTAATAATTACCAACTACAAGTGACAATTTTATTTCTTATTTTCTTATTTTAGAATTAAGAAAGTTTGGGGTCAGTTGTGGTGACTCACACCTGTAATCCCAGCTCTTTGGAAAGCCAAGGTGGCAGGATCACTTGAGCTTGGGAATTCGAGACCAGCCTGAGAGACATAGAGAGACCCCATCTTTACAGAATAAATTAGCCAGATGTGGTGGTGCATGCCTGTGGTGCCAGCTACTTGGGAGGGTGTTGAGAGAGGATCGCTTCAGCATGGGCAGTTGAGGCTGCAGTGAGCTGTCATTATGCAGCTGCCCTCCAGCCTGGGTGACAGAACAAGGCCCTGTCTCAAAAAAAGAAAGTTTGGAATGGTTAAAGGATATAAGGCAGTTTAGAATGGTTAAAGGATATAAGGCAAAAAAAAAAAAAAAAAAAACGTATGTTAGTACACCAACACCAAACTTTTAGAAAAGGTAATTTAAAATAATTTACTATAATATACTATAGCAATGATAGGGTTGTGTCTACAAATATATGCAAGCCATTTATGTAGTTATTTATAAAACTAAAAAAACTAATGTGAATGGAGAGATATAGTATGTTGATGGATAGGACGGCAATATAATAATGATCTTATTTGTCCTGATATTGCTGTATAGATTAAATGCAATTCTAGTCAGAATCCCAAAAGTTGGATTTTGGTTTTGCTTTTGGTAGAACATGAAAGGCACCAATATGGCTAAATCTCAGAAATACAGTGTTGAGCAAAATAAATCATGAAAATTGTGAAAGAATGTGTACGTTGCGATTTCATTTTTATAACATTCTGAACATTCTAAAATGATAAAACTAAGCAATTGGTAAAAATATGAAGAAAAGAAGGAAAATGATTATCATAAATTCATTGTACCAGTTACTTCAGGATAGAGGAAGGAAATTTAACTGACCAGGTTCTTACAGGAGGCTTCAGCTGTATTGCCATTAGTTCTATTCTTAAGTTGGCAGTGAGGTAGATACATGGAATTTCATTTTTTATAACTATTACCATTCTTGAAGAAAACATTCAAAATGTTTTCCTCTGCTGTCACACCAACACAACAATCAATACAGAAGACGTGACCTCAAAATATGTGGGGATTTTTTTCCCACCAGCAAGCAAGCAATCATTTCTGCATTAGACACCAGTTGGATGTTTTCCAATTCAGTTCCAACACTGTCTACCTGGAGATAGTGTCAGATCCCACAAGTTGAGGGCTTCGTCTCCAAGACTGCCTCCTCTATTTTCAGACACCAATCATGAGTCCTGGCCTGTAGAACTATTTACTGACTGGCTTCAAGTTGAGGTTTTCACAAGTTTCCACTTGGGGGAATTTATTAGCACAGCTCACCAAACTCAGGGAAACACTTACATTTATCAATTTATTACAAAGAATTTTTTCAAGGATACAAATAAATAGCCAAATGATGAGATATATAGGGTAAGGTCTGGAAGGGTCCAACCCCAGCAGGAGCTTCTGTCCCCATGGAGTTTGAGTATGCCACTCTCACAGCACATGGATGCATTCTTGTTCACTCTCCTAACAGGCTCCATGTGATCACCTATCTGAAAGCCTCCAGTGGAGTCCTATCAATGGAGACTTCATTGGATAGGTATGACTGAAGCATGCACAACTATGTCGAAATGTGATTGGATGTAAAGGATATGATCTAAGCTTAGTAAGGCCTGTTTAGATTCTTCTTGACCCCTCTGGAGCATTCCTTCCTCCAGGGTATGAGACAGAACCTCTCTGGAATCAGGGTCGTTTGACCTATAATCAGGTTAGAGTTCTGCCTTGGGCAGGGTGAAAGGGGGACAAGAGAAGGTCAGAGAGATTGTATTTACTTCAACAAAGGCCATGGGAGTTATGAGTCAAGAACCGTGGACAAAAACCATTGCCCATTTTTGTATTTATATATCACATTATTATTAGATATAAAAACATCCTTCTTTTACCCACTTTGATAAGAGCTCTCTTACTTATTTTTCTCAAACGTTTTATGTTGAAAGTTTGTAAGAATAGTACAGTAAAAAACATATACTCCTCACCTGAAGTCACTAATTGTTCATCCTTGCTCCATTGGCTTTATATTACTCTCATGCATTGCATTTAGTTGCTGTGTCTCTTCAGACTCCTTTAATTTGATACAGTTCCCCAGCCAATTGTTTTGCACAGTTTTCTTTAATTAGAATTGCCTGATTTTTTCCTTATGACTCAACTTGGGTTGAACATTTTCAGTAGGAATCCTACATAGGTGAGATTGTCTCTCTCAGGAAGCACATCGTGTTGGTTTGTCCCGTTCTTAATGGTGTTAATTTGATCGTTTGGTTTAAGGTATATCTGGCAGGTTTTTCCACTGTAAAGGAATATTTTCTGCTGAATATGTGAGTGATTCATTGAACCTGGAGGAATATTCTGCAACAGTTTTTCATCCAGTGGTTCTAGCATGCCTTGATAATTTTTCCCTGTATCAGTTATTCCATAGTGGTCATAAAATGTTGATTTTCTATTTCTAGCATTCTTACTACATTTATTAATTGGCATTCTTCTGTGAAAGGCTTTACCCTTTCTCATCCCTTTTGTTTTTCAATTCAGTCTGTCCTCTTCTCATTTTTTTTTTTGTTTTTATTTTGATGTTCAAATTGTCCATATTTGGCCAGTCGAAATCTCTTGAAACTGGCTCCTTTGTCCCTGTCCTGTGTCTTCTATGACCAGCTGAAACAATGTATTCCAGCCTCTACTTAGGCTTTCCCTGCTCCAGTCCTGGTTTTTTTCAGTAGATTTTAGTGTGCTCAGCACTTTTGGAGTGTTATTGCTTCTTGGTTCTTTTAGTGACAGAGCTAAGACATACTTTTTTTTTTTTTTTTTGAGACAGAGTGTCACTCCATTGCCCAGGCTGGAGTGCAGTGACAATCTCAGATTACCACAACCTCCACCTCCTAGGTTCAAACGATTTTCCTGCCACCCAAGTAGCTGGGACTACAGGTGCCTGTCACTGCACAGCTAATTTTTGTATTTTTAGTAGAAACGGGGTTTTACCATGTTGGCCAAGCTGGTCTCAAACTTCTCACCTCAAGTGATCCACCTGCCTCGGCCTCCCTAAGTACTGGGATTACAGGTGTGAGCCAACGCGCTTGTCCTATATGTATTTAAAGCATGAATTCATAATGACACCTCCAATTCTAAATCAATACTACAGGTTCTTCCTCTCCTCCCATTCTGTGTTTATATCTCTTTTCTTCCACTTGAGAACCCGGATTTTTTTTTTAACATCAACATCTTTACTCATTTCCTCAACTCTGTGGTACACACAAAATAGTTTTGAAGTCATACTGCTACTGTTACCAACTAGTCTATGAAGTAAGTTCAAGATTTCCTTGCAATTTGTTTTGCTCTTTGAATATATCCTTTTGAAGGAATAGAATCAGAGTGTTAGATGTAACAGCTTTTCTAGCTAGTTTAATTTGTCTCTGTTTTTCTTCCATTTTGAGACTGGTTTACTTAAATTTAAACATGTAAAACACAAACATGGTTCATAGTCAAAACTAAAAACATGGGCAAGTTAGCAACTTCTCAATGCTTGTTTCCTCAACTGTAGGGTTGCTGAGGAGCTTGAATGAAGCGATAAAGATTGCAGAGCTCTTTGCACAGTGCAGAACATACACAGCATCCAAATATGGGAGCTGGTTTTACTTTTCTTCTTCAGTCTCCATAGATTCCTCCCAGGTGCCTCTTTGGCTCCTTTCTTGTAGTTTGTGGCCCCAGGCCATACTTGCGGGGAGGGATCTGTCACATCATGATTAGTGGGGAGGAAGAGGTCTCATAATTTTTACCTACTGTGTACTAACCACTAGGAGGCATTTTCCTTGACTTACTGAATGCTCAGAATCCTGTAAGACAACTCCTCCTCTTCCTTTTCTGCGGCTGCTTCTTCCTCTTCTTCTTCCTCCTTGTCTTCCTCTTTCTTCTCTTCTTCCTCCTTTTCTTCCTCTTTCTCCTCCTCCTCTTACCCCTATTCCTCCTCCTCTTTCCTCCTTCCTCCTCCTTCCTTCTCCTCCTCCCTCCTCCTCTACAGATGAGGAAATGGAGGCTTAGGATATTGAATGCACTTGCCCAAGGTCACTCAGCTAACCTTGAACCTGTCTGACCCTTACTACCTGGCTCCACTTTCCCCATCATCTGCATCTCCCTCAGTTGGGGCCCAGGTTCGAGCTGGGTGAGTGGAAACCCAGCTTAGATTTGGGGAACATGTATAGTGAACAGAGCAGCCTGGGAGAGCAGGCATGGGGCCTTCCTTCCTGGCTGGTGGGGCCTTTGGATTCAACCAGAGTCCCATCTTTGTGTCTCGGCTCTGCTTTCCTCCCTAGCCCAGCCCATGCTGATAGCTCTATCTTGCAGAAAAATACATTTTTTCCTTCAGTATACCCAGTCCATGTCCACTGTACATGCTAATCAGTAGTCAGTGATTACCAGCAGTTTGCGTTAGTTCTGGGGTTTGCTCTGTTTTTTTTTTAATATTTATACATTGTGTTTGGAAATCACTGACTTGGAATGGGAGCTGGGTGGTTGCAGCCACTCAGCAGAAATGAGTGGCTCATCTTTCCGATTCATTTCAAAGAGTAACACTGGACAATCTAGAGTACTCCTGGCAGCCGTGGGAGGTGGGCCCAGTGGGGATTAACAAACCCATGTGTTAAAGGGGAAAAAAATCAAGGCTCTGGGGAGTAGTGCAGCACATTGACTCCATCTGCTGGAGGCAGTAGGTAAAGATTGAGGCTTCATCTGCCTCCCTGCTCCACGTGTTGAGGAGAAACAGGCCTGGAGAGGGTAATTTGGCCAAGGTCACACAGTGAATTTGAGGTAGAACCAGGATCAGTACCCAGGCTTGCTGACTGCCAGGCCTGAGCTCTCGATTGTGTCTCATAGGCAGCTAGCCAGGAGGAGAATCTTCCAGCCACCTGCTGTCTGTCCCAAGATAAGATTCAACAAGGTACCTGAAAGCTCTTCCCACAGCATTTTCTACAAATTATTTATAATTTCTCACGTAACATCTCCCCAGCTTCTTTCTAGCTGAGCATGGACCCTTTGCCTGTTCTTCACCCTTTAAAAGAGATGGCTCCTGCAGCTCTGCTGCTACACTAGGGATTGAGATGTAGAAGATGCTCCATCAACATTTGCCCTATGAAGATAGGAATGAACAGGGCAACCTAGCAAATCCTATAAGGGAGAAGATGAACACACACCCTTACCCAGCCACACCTGAAAGAAATGCTCACACTCGTGTTTACTGGGAGACAGGTGCAAGGATGTTCGTAGAAACACTCTATTATATTAAAATATGCAACATTACCTGAATGTCCATGATTGGGAAGACAGATAATTAAATCATGATGTATTTATACAATGGAGTATCATACAGGGGTGAAAATAAAGGAACTATAACTACATGTGTTAACATCTCAAACATACAATCTGGACTGATAAAGCAAGTTACTAAGTGTACACAGAGTACCATTAATATTAATACAAAGCCTTAAATATATCATAAAGAGTGGCTACCTTGGACAGGGGTAGAAGGGGGAATTGGATGACAGAGTGTATACAGAGAGCTCCAGCTAATCTTGTGTTTTATTTTTGAAGCTGAAGAATAGGTGAAGGGGGTTCCTGAAGCATCTTTGATATCTTTTTGTATGTCTAACAGACTTTGTTATAAAAACAAGCAAATAGAAAGAAGAAATGACTGAATAAATGGTTTGATTTTTTTTAAAAAAAACTAAAGATGAAAGTACCATCTTCTTTTTAGTTTCCATACTGTTCTTACCTACCTCCTTATTATTTTTAAATCATATATATCTTACACTCTGTATATGAGATAGCTCATAATGTAATTTTTTTTTTTTTGAGACAGAGTCTCACTGTATCACCCAGGCTGAAGTGCAGTGGCATGAGCTTGGCTCACTGCAACCTCTGCCTCCTGAGTTCAAGCTGTTCTCATGCCTCAGCCTCCTGAGTAGCTGGGAGTAGGTGCACCACCACGCTTGGCTAAGTTTTTGTATTTTTAGTAGAGATGGGGTTTCATCCTGTTACCCAGGCTGCTCTCGAACTCCTGAGCTCAGGCAATCAACAACCCACCTCGGCCTCCCAAAGTGCTAGGATTACAGGCATGAGCCACCACACGCAGCTTATAATGCAATTTTAAAAAAAGAAAATATAGGAAGGGAAAGTTGTACATTGTAAGGTAAGAAAACTATCTCCTTACTGTAAAATTACTGTGTAACTTGAAATTTAATCTAAAAGTACTGGTAACTCCTTAGCCACATACCCGATTTCTTTTTTTTTTTTTTTGAGGCAGAGTCTCATGCTGTCCCTGAGGCTAGAGTGCAATGGCACAATATCTCAGCTCACTGTAACCCCTGCCTCTCATGTTCAAGAGATTCTCATCCCTCAGCCTCCTGAGTAGCTGGGATTACAGGTGCTTGCCACCATGCCCAGCTAACTTTTGTATTTTTGGTAGAGATGCAGTTTCACCATGTTGGCTGATCTTGAACTCCTGACCTCAAGTGATCCACCCACCTCAGCCTCCTAAAAGTGCCAAGCCACTGCACCCAGCCCTATTCTTTTTTTTAACAAGAAGGTTATTTAAACATCAAGATGCTTGACTTGAAGGGAACACTCTCTAGGATTCTTTTTTTTTTTTAAGAGTAATTTATCTCTGCTTAAAGACAGATTGCCCTACATGTAACAGCTACACAAAAGTTATAAAATTGTCCTTGATTTTACATTGATAAATTAAAAACAGTAAAATTCTCCAATTGAACAAGATATGCAGGAATTTTAATGTTTTGTTGTTGTTGTTGTTGTTGTTGTTAAAACAGAGCAAAGTAACTTCCTGAAATATGAAGATAGCTGAATGAACATGCCCCTAATGGAGAAAGGGTATTTTCACAGAATCAGTATTTTTCCCCATCTCACCTCTACCTGATGTCAATCGGAATGTACCATTGGCTATTTAGTTAAAAAGAAATACAATATGCTTGTGAAACTATACCATTACTTTATGTACAGTAAAGGAATAGGGAAGGAGGAAGTGAAAGAATAGAGAAAACTAGTCAGCAGGATGTGGTGGAATCAAATTGCCATTTTCTGATTAAGAATGTAATCTTGGTCCATAAGAACAGAATTCTGGAGTAAAGAAATAGATTCCCTTTTTGCTAGACACTTTCTCTCTGCTGCTGGAATACATGCATTGTGTCTTCATCCTCCATTTTCAAGTGTGCAGGTGTGTCTGTTTCATTGATTGATTGCCCATCGAATCGGAATCTCATCTGCCTCCCTGACAATCCCTGTCATTCACAATAGTCTTTCATTAGTTTACCAAGTGGTGTATGCCTCTTAATCTTAAACTGAACCACAGAACCATCCTGCCCTGCCACGTTCAAATTAATACAATCATTGTTCTCAGTTTTGACTTCTTCTTTGGGCTTTTTGTTGTCCGTAGTGACTGCCTGAGTCTCCTCAGCTGCCACTTCACAAAAAAGGTACCATGTCTGCACCAGGAGCAGCAGAAGGAAGAGGTGGCAGTGTTGGACGAGGGAGAGCCACGTATTCTGTTACAGGATACAGCAGCAAAAAAGGGCAATTAGAATATTTTCATTTTACGTAACCAAAGATAAAAAAGACTTTGCTAATGACTTAATCCTTTCATTTACCTATTGTTTAGAGTACATTATTCTCATGTTGAAAAATAAATGAATGAATTTTTCACCAGAGTTCTTTTAAAAACCCTGAAAATAAGTAAGGATATCTCTGTAAGCATTTTCCTTCCTAGAGTTTTAATTTCAGTGTTTTTTTTTAAAGTATTGTAAAAGTTTTATGGATCAAATTTTGGATTTGTAATTTTTAAAACCAATTTTTTCCAAAATGGAAGCAAGCAGCTTAACACTAAGCAGGATCTTTCTGGGTACGAGTGATATTTTTGAAGACTTATCAGTTTTTAATTGTCCATTGTTTCCTAAACTGTATTTTTAATTTCATTTGCTTTCTCCTAGGGAATGAAGGATGGCAGCACGCCGTGCATTAAAAGCTGTTTTGGTAGATCTCAGTGGCACACTTCACATTGAAGATGCAGCTGTGCCAGGCGCACAGGAAGCTCTTAAAAGGCAAGCTATTCTCCAGGTTCAGCTGACAAATATGTTTGTAAGTGCCATTTTTACCACGGCAGATCATTAGCTAAATGGATGGCCTTAAGATGGCATTTTACCAACTTACCATATATAGGAACTGCCTTGGGTTTAGCTAGAAGATGTATGCATTATAATTTCCTCCAAACTGTTTTCTAAGCCTTTATTAGGTTTGGCCTTTTGATCCAGTCTTTTTGTTCTATGTATGTGTCGTTTTCTAAGTCAGTAATGTAAATGTGGGAATGACAACTCAAGATTCTATAGTGTGGAATAAATCCCATTAGAAAAAAATCACAAATGAATCCTGGAATCACAAAATAAAACACAGACAGGCATGGTGCTGCTCTCTCCTGTTTTCCCTAAGATCTAACATTGAGTGTGCAACTGCTCATATAAAGTTTAGCTAAAGAACTTGAATTTTTAGAATTATTTCCCTCAACTAAACGCTTTTAAAGGCTAAGGACTGTCTTACATTTCTCATCTACCAACTACAATACTAAACAGAAGTCTGGATACAAATGAGATACCCAGTAAAAGTGTTTTCAAGTAAATGGGATGAGAATGTTTGCTTCTGGGTGTCCTGAAAAAAACACTACCACCTCATCGCAACAGAACTAATAACCTGTATTGAGCATCTTTATCCTAAAATAATTTAGAGAAGTTTTCAACTCAGCAGTACTTAGTATGTGGTACATATTTGCCAACCTTAAAATGTTCATAGTATGGTGTTAATCAGAAAATATACTGACTCATATCACAGTGCCAGTTATTAAGCCAAAAGATTGACACAAACCTCATATTCTTTCAAGGAGCTTACCTTTCATTTGGGGAATGAAGAAATACTTATATATCTGACATACTTATATATCTGACAGGAATCAGTTGGAAGTTACCAATTAGGAGTCGTAATGTTCATTTTATAGGTGGAGAAGTAGTGGACGACATGTTGTTTAAAGTGAAAAAAATATCTGTTGCACAGTTGGACTTTATCTTAACTCCTTGGCATGGTTTTTCTCTGAGTTAGCTGGATGCCTGTTAATAAGTGTGCTCCTATTGGACAGAGCTTTTACTGCTTTAAAGATGAGCTTTTTACTGTAGATTGAAAGAAAAATCTTTTTATATCTGGTGAACAATGACATCTCTAAGTAGCTGTGTGAATTATAAACCTGTCATTCTGGAGGGGCAGGAGCCTATAAATTGTCATGTTGCTGGCACTGATAGGTTCTCATCCCAGAAAAATCACTGTACTAGCACCGCCAGCTTTAGTTTCTGTAAAAACAAATATACTAAGAGAAATTTAGGGACTAGTAAAATGAAAAGTTAAAAAAAATTAAAAATAGTGATTATTTGAGTACTTAGACTTCTTCATTTTTAGGATAATAGTAAATAGAAGTAATCAATTTCTTAAGAGATGAACAAGCAAATTTAATATGTTTTGTAGAGAAGAGACCACACAGATATTATAGAGGTAATCATAATTACAGTGAATTATTTGATCATATAAATTTACTTAACGTTCTTTGGGTGAATTTTTTTTTTGAGACAGAGTCTCACTCTGGCCCAGGCTGGAGTACAGTGGCGCAATCTCAGCTCACTGCAACCTCTGCCTCCTAGGTCCCACTTCAAGCAATTCTCCTGCCTCAGGCTCTTGAGTAGCTGGGATTATAGGCATGCGCCACCATACCCAGCTAATTTTTGTATTTTTAGTAGAGACGGTGTTTCACCATGTTGGCCAGGCTAGTCTTAAACTCCTGACCTTGTGATCCACCCACCTTGGCCTCCCAAAATGCTGGGATTACAGGCGTGAGCCACCACGCCCAGCCTGGGTAAGTATTTAAAAGTCTCTTTTTTATTTACTTGCTTGATTTTAAATTGTGATTATCACTTTCATGCCTTGCAGCCTTTTGGGGGCAAGTATAAAATAAAAGCAACAGGGTATTGATATAAAAATCTAAATTGTAACTAAATTAAAATTATTTTTAAATTTTTTATTGAAACACTATAGGACCAAGAAAATAATTTACGCTTTTAAAGAAGGTTAGACTATCATGAATTCTTTCTCTGATACCTGATTGCCAGTTTAGGTTTCAAGAGCACATCTTGGAATCAAATCAATCGTGGATATAAGTAGTTTGAAGGGAAAACAGATTTTGGTCTATAAAAATAGAATGTTGCTTTGAGCTATCCAGGTAGTTTCTCTTTATAAACTTAGTAACCCATTAGAGCTTAGCCAGTCTCTAAAGATATTCTGAGGTGTCTTCTGCTCTCTTAGTGTAGGAGATCAAATACTGTACCAAGATACCTAAATATGGAGTTATTGTCTCAGCTTTACTGCCACCCGGCTGTATAAAGCTGGGCAAATCGCTTAACTTCTCTAGGCCTCTAGTTTTTCATCCTTAAGAAGAGAGGGTGGCACCAGTAGATAATCTCTAAAATACCTTTCACCTCTCATATTTGTATGAGTTTTTTTGTTCTCTCCTTTACTAAACTGTGCAGTAGAATGCAGTCAAAGTATAAAAGGTCCTCAGAAAAGGTAAACAGCTTTAACAGTTCGACTTTACAGCCTTTGGAAGTGCAGCTGCCCACAGGGTGTAGATAATTTGTAAGCAACTCTGGATAATTTTTTTGTTTTTGTTTTTTTTTTAAAAACAACCACAATAAAACCTTTTGGCCATAAAAACAGTTGACACCGTTTTAACAAATTAGGAGGTTTTATGGGGCCAGAATGTAAAAGCTGCCTTTTGACTTGTGAATTTTGCTTCTCTAGGTTACGTGGTACTTCTGTAATCGTTAGGTTTGTGACCAATACGACCAAAGAGAGCAAGCAAGACCTGTTGGAAAGGTTGAGAAAATTGGAATTTGATATCTCTGAAGATGAAATATTCACATCTCTGACTGCAGCTAGAAGTTTATTAGAGCAGAAACAAGTCAGACCCATGCTGCTAGTTGACGATCGGGCACTACCTGATTTCAAAGGTCGGGAAGATTTGGAAAGTTTAAAAATTAGATCTTTATATGTACTTACAAATAATTTTTAAAACTGGATGTTTAGAGATGTTTATTCTGATTTCCCTGTTATTACTGAATATTTGGTAATACTGATAGTTTGAATCTAAACTGGCATTTCCCAAACCTTTTTTGACTGTAACCCATAGTAAGAGAAACACATTACATAGTAACCTAATACTTATCTATATGTGTGTCTTTATGTAAGTTAAGCAATACTCATTCTTGCTGTATAACATGTATTTTGTTTTCTTTTTGGTTTGATTGTTTATTTGATTATGGTGCTGCATAGAGCCCTCCAAATTCGTTTTATAATCTAGATCACAGCTCATAGTTTGAAAAAACACAGGTCAAAATTACTTTGAGTATTGTAATCTAATCCTCAATGCAGGAACCACTATATTAACCTGATTAAATGAGATATGCCAGGATCTCTTTGTTTAAAGTGGATGTCATTCTGGATAGTGTGAAGTTTTTACAAGTGAACATGAAATATTTTTCAATCAAGAGAAAAGTGTTTCTCTTTGGAAAAGTCAACAGATTCTGGAAGAATATCATAGTTTCGTGAAGCTTTGCCACATTGCCTCTTTTCAGAGAGGATACTCAGAGTGAAATGACACAAGATAGAAAATGGGGTATAAGTTCAGCGTGGCTATAGAGTTGGGCAGACCTCAACACTAGTACTAATAGGAAATACAACAATGTACCAATCAGAATTACTATTTGCAAGAAATAGAAACAAATTTTGGCTGAATTAAACAGAAAATAAATTTATTAAAAGCATCTGGGGGGAACAGGGTAGGGATAGCACGGGGAGAAATGCCAAATGTAGGTGAAGGGGAGGAAGGCAGCAAAACACACTGCCACGTGTGTACCTATGCAACTATCTCGTATGTTCTGCACATGTACCCCAAAACCTAAAATGCAATAAAAATAAATTTTAAAAAAGCATCTGAGTGCAGATGGGAATATAAAATGACATGAAGCCTATGGAGAGGAATTTGGCAGTAGCTAGCAAAATTACATATGAAGCAGCACTTGTAGGAATCGATCTTTAAAATATAGTTATAAAAATACACAATGACATGAATAAGGTTATTCATTAGTACCTTATTTGTAATGACAAAATATTGGAAACAACCTAAATGTTTATCAGAAGGGACTGATTGAATAAACTGATATATTCACAAAATGGAAAGGTTTGTAGCTGAAAATTAAATAATGATGATGAGTGCTATCTCTTGATTAAGGAGTACTCTGCATAGGATGTATTAAATGAAAAAAGTAAGGTGTAGAAATCTTTACACATTTTCTGTGTAGGAAAATGAAAAGAAAATGGATATACATATTTTGTCTTGTATTTGTAAAAGGAAGTCAAAGAAGGATAAATGAAAAGCTAATAAAAATGGTTACCTAAAGGGGAAGCGAGGGAGGAGGGATGGATCAAGAGAGGAGGCTTCTTAAAAAGTCCCCATTACATATTTTGACTCTGGAACCATATGAATATTTTATGTAACGAAAAGACAACAAGTGAAAAACCAGCCTCTAAATAGAAATGAACTTAACTCTGTATCAGGCTGATGTCATCACCACTCAGAGAAAAGAATTACTTTAAATAACTTTAAAGTGCAGTTTTTTGACCTGTTCATTTATAGTGGGATGGATAAATTCTAAGGACAAAAGAACTACAAAGAGATCTTAAACTTCATTCAGGAGTCTTATTGTTATTAGTAATACTGTTTTTTTTTGTTTTTTGTTTTTTTTTTAATTTTTTATTGGATTTTAGGTTTGGGGGTACATGAGCAGAGCATGCAAGACAGTTGCGTAGGAACACACATGGCAGTGTGCTTTTCTTTCCTTCTCCCCTTCACCCACATTTGGCATTTCTCCCCAAGGCATATACACGACAAAGTGAAGTAGTAACTATTAGTTTTTTTGTTTCCTTGTTTTTTTTTGAGATGGAGTTTCGCTTGATCTTGGCTCACGGCAACCTCCGCTTCCTGGGTTCAGGCAATTCTCCTGCCTCAGCCTCCCGAGTAGCTGGGATTACAGGCACGCGCCACCATGCCCAGCTAATTTTTTGTATTTTTAGTAGAGACGGGGTTTCACCATGTTGACCAGGATGGTCTCGATCTCTTGACCTCATGATCCACCCGCCTTGGCCTCCCAAAGTGCTGGGATTACAGGCTTGAGCCACTGCGCCCAGCCTAACTATTAGATTTTAATAGTCAGTAAAAAGAGATGCAAATGTAAAAATCAAGTAAGTTAAATAAAAGTTGTGGATTACTACTTTTAAATAGAAAATACAGTTATCAACACCTTTTTTCTCTTAAATAATACATACTATGAAATCCTCCACTGGAAGGGCCTAAAACAGTGATAATGCAGTGCTCAGACTGTGGTATCTACTGTCATTTCCCATTGTAGTTCTTTGGAAAAATTACTGATTTCAGATCTGGACAGACATTATATGAGTCTGGAATAGCTTATTGTGTTAGCAAAGAAACTACTAGCGAATACTCATGGCTACTGGTAAGGAGGAAGTTGGAAAGCCTGGATATGTGCATCCAATAAGAGAGGCAAATAGGAATTGGTTTATGGATAATCCATGGAATCTTTAATCAGACTTTTAATAATTATGGAGAATGTACTTGTTTGATTGTCATGTCTGAAGTTCTGTTATAAAATGCCAAGGCCTTTAATTTAAAAAAAAATTCTGAAACTAAAAGTAGATTAGCATTATGTAGAAAACTGTAGACTCTGCAGTGCATTTCATATTAATAATGAACATGTTAACCTCAGTTGTGTCAATTAGAAAGTCTAATTTCCCTTGCCTCTTAGATTTTCAGTCCCTTATTTGTTGCTATCGATCTGATAATTCATAGGGAACTCATGGCAGTTCTTGTTGATTATAATCAGTAAAGCATTTTAACATAAGAAATTGTTATTTAAGGACATCAGGTTACAATTTTCAATTCAGATCTTCTGGTTACTGAGTACCTGTAGACTGTGTACAAGGAATATGGAAAAATATTAGATTTTCCTTCTTTCTTTCTCCCTCCCAACCCCTGTTTCCCTCTCCCTCTCCCTCTATGTACTCTTGTACTTCCAAAACATACTGGGGAGGATAATTTGTTAAATTTTAGATTATGGCTATAGCAAAAGTTTGTACTTGATTGACTAGAACTATTTTGTTTTAAATGTGACATTGCTTTTAATTGCATTTTGAACAATTATATTTTTTTTTATTCCCAGGAATAAAAACAAGTGATCCTAATGCTGTGGTCATAGGATTGGCACCAGAACATTTTCATTATCAAATTCTGAATCAAGCATTCCGGTAAATCTAACTATTTATTTTTCAACTGATCATATAGTCCCCTTCTTCCTTTCCTTTGTCATGATCATGAACAGGTTTATGTGTTTTACTTTCTGGGCACCGAAATTGCACATTAGGACAGACATCTTCAAGATCAATGTAAAATAATATTTATTACTATCTTGACTTTTTTGTGTGTATGATATGTTTTTTTGTTTTTATTTTGTTTTTGAGATGGGGTCTTACTCTGTCACTCAGGCTTGAGTGGTCCTCCCATCTCAGTTTCTGTATTTTCAGTAGGGATGGGATTTCGCCGTGTTACCCAAGATGGTCTCGAACTCCTGGGCTCAAGCCATCTTCCCACCTCAGCCACTCGAAGTGCTGGGATTACAGACATTTGCCAGCATGCCTGATCAGCAGTTTTTTCTTTTATTATTACTCCTGTGATTCTCCATTTACTATGCTAATTTCTGAAGGAAAACATTATCCAGGATAATTCACCAAAAACAATAAATGTGATTCTACCTCCAGTGAGAATCCAGGCTATGGAAAAGAGTTGACACATTTGACCACACTTTAAAAGAAATTTATTTGATGAGTGGTAATGATACGAGTGAGCTGGAATAGTGGCAGTGGGGATGAAGAAAAACAGATTCAGATACCATCAACATGTCTTGCTTTGGAGTTTAGTCAGTGAAGTAGAAGAGTGCCACAAGGGTACATCCAGATTTCTAACCTGAGCAAGTAAGATTAAGAACTCTTGGTTTGGGATTTAAGAAGTGACGAGTTTAGGTTTGGCCTGCGGAATATCCAAGCTGAGAGACATCAATGGCTGTGGGTAGAAGAAGAACTAGTACATAAAATGTTATAAATCTTCAGTTAATGTGTACATTTCACTTAAATGAACTTTTTGCTGCTACTTCTAAAAGGAAGGCTGCATAATACTTGTTCTCATACTTCCCAAGATAAATTGGATCAGAATTTATCTGCAGATCTGCTGTAGAATGAAATTGCAACTTTTTCCTTTGGATTTTGTAATTTTTCATGTTTTGCCTTTTATCTCTTGTTAAACCATTAAACAGTATAATTTACCTTTGAATGTATGTCAAGTATATAGTTCAAAATGTTACATAGAGATATATTGAACTAGCTTAGAAAAAAATTTTTAATAGCCTGGTAAAGTTTTTGTATTTAACTGCAGGAATGCTATTTATAAAACCCAGAATTTTCTTACCAGTGCAAGGGTCTATAAGAACCATTCTAACTTATACATTATATAGAATTCATTTCTTCATGGATATACTACAGAATTAGAATATTTATAGGAAACTATAAACATTTATTTATGACTCTAGCCACTTTTATTTGTGACTCTAGTCACTATGATAGTCAAGCCCTTGTTTAAAAGGAGCAAACTCACTTTTTATAGTTGTTCAGTATCTGTTTACTGTAATTATTTCCTGGACATTCACTGTTATGCCAGCTCACTTGAAGATGTACTTCAGTGTATAAGATATTAAAATGACTTTTGCTTCCCCTACTTTTTCAATTATCCTACTTTGGCTTTTGGTTGAGTGGGGAGAGACTATGCCATCTGCTCCTTAAGTAAGTTCTACAACTGTGCCAGTATCAGTTTTCATTTGAAACAGAGAATCTGCCATTATTTCTTCTGAATTTATTCCTTCTACCTTTCACTCATTTATTTAACCACAGAATTCAAGGAAAAGATATTGATTTTAGCTGGTAATTTGGGAAGGACATATTTAATAGGAAATTGAGAGGTCTGTGTCTTAGATGAATACTAGAATCAGGGTAATAAAAATGTATGTTGACATAATACTGACTTTGTAATTGCTTGGATGCTGTCTAATTAGTACACTTTCCTAACCATACTGATTTTTTAAACACTACATTTTAAAACATTACAGTGTACTTATAGGTCAACTCTAATTTCAAAAATGCACGTAACAGCTGGGTGGAGAGTTAACAGAAGGATTTTAGGTCTTGCCCTTCTTTGCATATTGATGTTTCCACAGGGACTGCCTTCCAACCAATGACTGCAGCTGTTTGGATTGTGTGTGGCAAATGTAGACATCTCAAATGAACCACCGATTAGTTAAATTACTGTTTAGGCTGATAATGACAATAAACATTGGATTTTAAAGCCCATTGCATGCCAGCTTCAGGGGCACATTACATCAAAGCAGATACATCAACCTTCACATTACGCTGCATCTTATTTACCGTGTTTTTGATGGATAGCCCTCCACAAAAATGCATAGTACAGCCTTTCTACAAATATCTCTTAGATGCATAAATGGAATTGAGAATAGACGTTTTTTATTGAGGTTGAATCTCGCTCTGTCTCCCAGGCTGGAGTGCAGTGGTGCTATCTCGGCTCACTGCAACCTCTGCCTTCTGGGTTCAAGCGATTCTTATGTCTCAGCCTTCCAAGTAGCTGGGACTGCAGGTGCATGCTGCTACACCCAACTAATTTTTGTATTTTTAGTAGAGGTGTGGTTTTACCATGTTGGCCAGGCTGGTCTTGAACTCCTAACTTCAAGTGATCTGCCCACTTCAGCCTCCCAAAGTGCTGGGATTACAGGCGTGAGCAACACACCTTGTGACAATAGATTTTAAAGAATTGATTTTGAGGAAGGATATGACTCAGTTATAGCTGATAGATATGATATGAGTATGAATTTTATAAAACATTCAAATCCAAAGAGCCATTGGTAGCTTTTTTTTTTTCCTTTTACCCAGTACTGAAAGATATAAAGAACAATGTAATGAATACCTGTAGGCCTATCAACCATTTTGAGAAACAGAAATTATTGACACGTTTGACACCCTGATGTATCCCTTCCCAATATTATCAACCAGGACCCATAGGTAATTAGGATTACTAATTTAGTGTTTATCATTTTTATGTATTTCTTTATAACATGTAAGTAGATATTCCTAAATAGTATATAGTATTATTTTTGTATGTTTTATACTGTATGTTTTTATTGATTTGCCTTCTTCCCTAGTAATATTGTGTGATTCATTAGTGTGAATATCCATAGCAGTATTACTTATATTACCTTATACTAAAATTAAAAATTTTTTTTAATTTAAAAAAAATTTCAATAGCTTTTGGAGTACAAGTGGTTTTTGGTTACATGGCTGAATTATACAGTGGTGAATTCTGAGATTTTAGTGCAGCCATTACTCTAGTAGTGTACATTATCCCCAATATATAGTTTTTTATCCCATACCTCCTCCCACCCCTCCTCTTCCGAGTCTCCAGAGTTCATTATACCACCCTGTTTGCCTTTTCTTACTCATAGCTTAGCTCCCGCTTATAAGTGAGAACATACAGTCTTTGTTTTTCCATTTCTGAGTTACTTCACTTAGAATAATGGCCTCCAGCTCCATCCAGGTCACTGCAAAAGACATTATTCTTTTTTCCTTCTTATGGCTGAGTAGTACTCCATGGTGTATATATGCCACATGTATATTTTTACCGACTCATTGGCCAATGGGCACTTAGGTTGGTTTCACATCTCTGCAGTTGTGAATTGCGTTGCAGTAAACACACGTGTGCATGTGTCTTTTTCATACAGTGACTTATTTTCCTTTGGATAGATACCTAGTAGTGGGATTGCTGGATCAAATGGTAGATCTACTTTTCTTTCTTTCTTTTTTTTTTTTTTTTTTGGAGACGGAGTTTCGCTCTGGTTACCCACGCTGGAGTGCAGTGGCGCAATCTCGGCTCACCACAACCTTCGCCTCCTGGGTTCAAGCAATTCTCCCGCCTCAGCCTCCTGAGTAGCTGGGATTACAGGCACGCGCCACCGTGCCCAGCTAATTTTTTATATTTTTAGTAGAGACGGGGTTTCACCATGTTGACCAGGATGGTCTCGATCTCTTGACCTCGTGATCCACCTGCCTCGGCCTCCCAAAGTGCTGGGATTACAGGCTTGAGCCACCGCGTCCGGCCCTACGTTTATTTCTTTAAGGAATCACCATGCTGTTTTCCATAGAGGTTGCATTAATTTATATTCCCACCAGCAGTGTATAAGTGTTCCTCTTTCACCATGTCCACACCAACATCTATTGTTTTTTGACTTTTTAGTAATGGCTATGCTTGCAGGAGTAAAGTGGTTTTAATATCTCATTGTGTTTTTAAGTTGCATTTCCCTGCCTTAAAGTTTTTATTTCATCTTCATACCAGAGTGAAAAACCCAAAGTTTGGCTGGGTGTGGTGGCTCATGCTTGTAATCCTAGCACTTTGGGAGCCCACGGTGGGTGGATCAACCGAGGTCAGGAGTTTGAGACCAACATGGCCGACATGATAAAACGCCGTCTCTACTGAAAGTACAAAAATTAGCCAGGTGTGGTGGTACGTGCCTGTAGTCTCAGCTACTGACTGGGGAAGCGGAGGCAGGAGAATCGCTTGAAACCAGGAGGCAGAAGTTGCAGTGAGCCAAGGTAGCACCACTGCACTCCAGCCTAGGCGACAGAGTGAGACTCCACCTTGAAAAACCCCAAAACCCAAAAAACGCAAAGTTTGAGCATTTAGGTAATGGACCAATTATAATTGAACTCGATGATTACTATTAGGAAAAAGACAAACAGGTCACTTATAATCTAACCTGAACTTAATATCTAATAATAAATAAAGTTAATATATCCTCATTGTGGAAAAGTTTAAATGCTCAAGAAAGATAAATTAAAAATTACCTTATAACCCTGCCACCTAAAGAGAACCACAGTTAACATTTTAGCACATAGCTAGTTTCTTTGTTTCTATGCCCATACATCAAAATTTAGAATGTATGTATACCATGTAGTAACATGTTTTTAAAAAACCTAATGTATTGTGCATGCTTTGTCATATTTCTAAATATTATTCTAAAACCTATTTGATTGCTACAGAATATTCCATTTTAAGAAGTACAATGAAAATTGCTTTGTCACAAGTTCCTATTACTGTTGGTATTTCAGGTTTTTGAAATTCGTTTTAAAAAACTTCT